AGGTTATGCAGAAAATCATGTAGTTCTTAAGTAATGTAAACAAAATGTTATCCCTATAAAAAATGACTGAAATTTGTAAACATACTGGTGACAATGGGTAGTACTATGCCTATTACATTATCATTGACGAAGATCAACATGGACAACCTAATGCGGCTATAAGTGGGAAAGATTTGTAGAATACATTAAAAAACCAGATCAGCTTTTGAAAAATGATAAAATATTTACAAGAAATGTTGATTTTATGGAACTGTTAGGTACGTAATCTATGAGTTGAGTCTTTTAAACTCATCGGAATTTATGACTTTTATTAGTTTTTAAATAAGTAATTTGTTTTTAAATACTGTAACTACTTAACTTCTTTCATGTACACTAGTGTAGCTTATTGTAGTATCTCAGTTTCAAGAACTTATAATAATTAAAATTACCTTTTTTGTTTCCTTTGTTCTTGAGCTGGAGGTTTGTATGCACTATGTGTACATTTTACCAGCTTCTGTGCTGTCGAGGGGTCTCTAACTTAATGTGGCTCTAACAAAACTGAAACTGCAACAAACTGGCAATACTACAGATATAACCGTCCAATGCACCAAATTCCCACTGGAAAAGAAAAACTAGAAAAACTGTGCTTGAACTGCTAGAATCTATTCAGCTTGTTTCAAAATTAGAGTGCTCGAGGTAGAGGGGATGGAATAATTTCTCCTCAAACCACCTATATTTTGTGAACGGAGTATAGCATTCTACAAATCAAAGTATAGCTAGAGATAACTATACCAAATCAGTATAAGCACATTATTTATAGAAAAATTATATACAGGGTGTCCACAAAGTCTGGAAATCACATCGTATGAAAACGAGTGATAGTAAGATAAAGATTTACCTACAAATATAACAGGCAACTTCTTAAGATTTTATAGCTATGGTCAAACTTAATTTAATACACCTCTGCGTGTGCATTTCCAGTGGCCTGCAGATATTCTAGACGTCTTTTTAGTTTGTCCCAGGTTTTAGTCAGCATATCCTGGGTTACAGATGGCACAACATTTCTGATTCTCTCCCTCAGTGTTTGTAAATGAGGAACTGGGAAAGAATAGACAGTATCCTTGACAAATCCCCACAAAAAGAAACCCATGGGGGTTACACCGGGGGAACGTGGTGGCCATTTCGTCGGGCCATCACGCCCGACCCAGCGTCCGGGGAAGTGGCGATTTAAAAAATCCCTCACACATTTGGCTCAATGAGGCAGGGAGCCGTCTTGCTGGAAAATTATCATAGGTTGCTGTTCTTCTAATACTACTTACAACTCCAACGTATCCAAGAAAACAAACCTATTCACATTTTCTTCCGCAAAGAAAATTGGTCCAATGATGCCATAATGCATTACACCGCACCAAACATTTAGTTTTGGACAGTCACTTTATTTTTCAATCACGATACTGGGATTTTTCACTCCCCCAAATTCTACGATTAATTGTGACTGTTAGTTAACCTTCCCAATTTGGGATTGGGTTTCCTGAAGCCACAAAACACTCTTTGATTTCTCTTGTAAATGTACAATTTCTGATTTGTTTTTGTATTGAATCATTACTGTATTGTTGTCAATCAGCTGTGTTTAGATGTTACAAACTTCATTAAATAAAACCTGCTTAAATTCCCTTCAAAACAAGGTATACAAGTTAAGCATGGCTGTAATAGTTTTTGTACAGCAAAGCTATTAAATCAGGCCAAGACTTTGTGGACACCCGGTAATATTTTGTATACCAGTTATTATTGCTGGATCAATAAATATATTCAGGTATAGGCAATAACTTATATTTCGTTAGAGGTATAAACATATTTATTTACATTGTCATATAAAATACATAACATAATGGACATAATAACAGTGAAAACCATTGAAGACAGTTCCAAACTTTTCTTCAATGGTTTTATATACATTAATTTTATTCATAGATTAATGGGTACATACATTTTAGGACTAGCAAGCAATTTGTTTATAAAATAAAATAACATTGAAGATTTTTTGTTAGGCTATCTTATTTTTGTCACTAGTTGATACAACAGTTTTTTGAGCTTAAAAGATTACAAATGTTTGTAGTTGAGTTTGGAAGTGTTGCAATAAAATTTTGTAGTTAGCAGTTACAAATGGCCAATAATTCAAATATAGGTTGTAAGCTCTTACAAATATTGGTCCCAATGGCACTTTGTATGTTAAATGGAATTATTATCCAATTAACAATATTATATTGTCATTTCAATCAAGTTTAAGTTTGTACAGTAGTTTTTGCCCAACCAGTGTTTAAGGAGTTGATATTTAGGAAGGCCTGAGTAGGTTTAAAACTGGTTTGAATTGGTTACATGGCATCTAATGCAAACATGCTGAAAAAAATAACGTAGAACATATTTATAGGAAATACGTTGCTTTGACCTATCTCTTCTTTTCTGTTGACTTGCCATAAGAATAAAAAAACATCTTATACAGGGTGTCCCGGAACTCTCTACCAATATTTTAGGGCATTGTTCCTGGGTAAGAAACATATCTAAATATCATATTTAAATTGTCCGGAAGTCCTTATTTACTCAGATAGCCGCCATTTTGTTTTTTTCACTTATTAATTTTTTTCTGAAGATTGGTTAAACATACGAAGTTGAAACTTTGCACAAACATTTATGACAACTAGACAAAGCTACAAAAAAATTATGACGATTTTTCAAATTCATAAAACAAAATGGCGGCTGTTTAAAATTTTGTTTCTTAAATTACTCGAAAACCGTTGATTTTACAAAGATTTTACAAGAATAACTTTTTTAAGGCAATTTTATTAAAAATCGATCGACACCTTAATCTTTAAGATCGGACGAGTATTAACTGAGATATGGCAGTTTTAGTGATACGTGACCGCTTTCAGCATGCGCTGCAACTAATATCCGGCGGTCACGTATCACTAAAACTGCCATATCTCAGTTAATACTCGTCCGATCTTAAAGATTAAGGTGTCGATCGATTTTTAATAAAATTGCCTTAAAAAAGTTATTCTTGTAAAATCTTTGTAAAATCAACGGTTTTCGAGTAATTTAAGAAACAAAATTTTAAACAGCCGCCATTTTGTTTTATGAATTTGAAAAATCGTCATAATTTTTTTGTAGCTTTGTCTAGTTGTCATAAATGTTTGTGCAAAGTTTCAACTTCGTATGTTTAACCAATCTTCAGAAAAAAATTAATAAGTGAAAAAAACAAAATGGCGGCTATCTGAGTAAATAAGGACTTCCGGACAATTTAAATATGATATTTAGATATGTTTCTTACCCAGGAACAATGCCCTAAAATATTGGTAGAGAGTTCCAGGACACCCTGTATTTTGGAAAACTCAATACATTTGTAAAGGATCTTTTTCAGTACCTAACTCAACATTTGTGAATTTTTTCTCGTGACTCATATCACATGAAACCCTTAAAAAATCTTGCAACTTTCTCTTCCATAAACTCATTTTATATTCTTACTGATATATATATTTTGTAACTTATAACTTCATTACACTTCAATAAATATTGGTTTTATGTCAGTGCCTACATATTTAGAAGTGTATCATAATTTTCTACTCTGTAAAATCTAGAATTCATCCTGAAAGCTACCTTACTGACTAACTAGCTGAAGACAAAATGAGAGGTTGCATATATTTTTTACGGATTAAATATTTCCTCTTAAGATTTGTTTGGACTGACTGAATATTATAGTCTATAGTGATGTAAACAACATAAATCTAAGATATTAATACTAGACAATGCCTTTTCATCCCTTGCTTTTTACCCGCTTTGATGATAGCAAGATTTATCTCGTAAAAGGCTGTTTAACACACCTTTCTTAGGGTTTTACCTTTGACAGACTGTTTACAAAATTTTTTTTGAACATCACCATCAGAAGATCATAAAAAAACATCACTTGTATCTGAGCATTATATACTGTTAGTAACAGTTTAAAAAGTAAATTTACTTTTTTTAAATTCAATATTAATTCAGTTTTGTTTTGCACATTTAATGATTGTATATTCAATTTACTTACTTGCTTGATATAGGATGCACCACAGAGAAGTAAGGTACAGAGGAAACATTCAATGGCAGGTACTGTACACTTGAAGGCGGTGACACAATATCGATCTTTTCCCCGAACAAGACCCCGAACCGAGCAGGGAGAAGGGAGGTAAAAATCTGCAAATTTTCAATCCGAACATTTCCTGGAACAAGACCAAGACCAGACAAGTTCTACCGAGCGCGGTAAAAGGGAGTTTAGAGAGAGATGGAGAGCGTGTGTGAGTGAGAGCGCGAAGGCGGTAATAATAAAACATGAAATAACATGTTACAGAATGATAGTTTTGATTGCCTTTAACAATTGTTATGTTTATATTAATTTTTAAAGAATTTAAGTATAACATCAATTACTTAATTCAAGTTAAACATCATTGGTATCATTGATTTAACGGTTTCAACTTGTAAAATACATTTTCAACCTTGACCAAACAAACAACAAAATTACAACATAAATGTCCATAATATATAACGGCAAAATATTACCCAACATTTATTTATTTTAGCAATTAAAGAGTTTAATTGCCATATTAAATTAGAACTATCAACGCTAGCGCAGGCGGCCGCTCGTTGCGGCGCTCGCGACGATGTACGGGGCAAAAATGTACCGTGACACACTATCGTACATAACTCCGTACATCGGACCGATCATTTCTTTGATCTTTCGCCAAAAAACCGCCTCCAGAGCGTTCGTCTCCCTGCTCGGCCTGATGTCTGGATCGGTGTACGGACCCGTGACACACTATCGAACATTCTCCCTTCGACCTCCCTTCTCCCTTCTCCCTGCTCGGTTCGGGGTCTTGTTCGGGGAAAAGATTGATAGTGTAACACCGTCTTAAATGGTGTCTAGGACAAAGTCCAACATGACCCTCCTCTCCCTCATATATTACAACGCTCATGGTGGAGAAGACCCTGTGCGATAGGAACACAGTGTTTGCCGCTCGGTCTCCACCTTGCCCGTCACAAGTATATTTCCGCTCAACATACCAGTGCTGAAAGCGTACTGGTCCCATAAGAGTGTTTCCTCTGTACCTTACTTCTCCATGGATACAAAATTACGTTTTGTAATTGTAAGTTTGCATACACAAAAAGGTACCAAATACATAGTCACCTTTCCTGTTTGCTAAATTTAATAATAATTAAACTGCCATAGCAGTCTTGTGATGGTATAAAGTTTCAAGTAGTTCAAAGATTGAAATAACTCATTAAACAGTTTAATCAAAATTCAAGTTTGTCTGAACTATGCTTTTCAAGTTTTAAAATAGCACTAGCATTTTCTTCTGCTGAACATAGTGTATTATAGCAATTGGCAAATACAGTACTTGCAAAAAAGTTTTTTTTGGCAGTTTGACTTTCAAGGTGTCCACAAATATGTATTAAATTTTATCCACAAACAAACTATATGACCTTTAATTGATACTTTTTCCAGTCTCAAACCATAATTAACTACACAACTCCAATGTCAGCATTCCATCCTAGTACCCATGTTTGCTTTTCCTCACCACAAGAACGATCTTCTGGAATTAATTTATTTTACAAAATGTGAACACCTTAGTGTTTTATTGTGTACTTCACTTTTTTGCACAATATGATATTAAAATTCAATAATGGCACTGTATGATCAATCAAAAAGACTAATTAAACTCATTACATAATAACTTTCACCTCACCAACAATCTGTAAGGACTTCTTAAATATTTCCCAAAACATTTCTAGCTGCTCCATTTCTCCAAAACCCTGTCAAATACAATTTCACAGTAAATACTCCAAAAAATATCTCTCTCAAACGGAAACTTAAAACATCTTTTCAAGTAAACATTTTCCAAAAATAAACTTACGACTTCACGAGGGATTTCACCAACACCTGGCACCGTCTTCGAAGTAGACTTCTGAAACTTCCACTAGTCTGAGCCTCCGATCCGTCAGTTGAGTATCGTATCACAGTGTGTAGCGTATGTGTACCAGTAGATCTATCAGCTGATATCACGAAGGACTCCCAGCGCGCGCCAGCTGAGCTCTCAAGGCCGTCGACTCTTGCTTCATCTGGCGCAGATCTGCGGAGATCCTCTCCAACTTAGACGCTGTATCTTTCGCCCTCTCCACTTCAATCTGTGAGGACAGGTTAACATGTTTAACATTATTCAATTAATAATGTTTCTCTGTGAAGTCTACCGCCAAACTAGGCGACTCGGTTACCATGACTTTTTTATACTAGACCTCGCAAGAAGTTGGCCACAATTAAGTGACATCTAACTATTAAGATGACTTTTTAATGAATAAGGAGGACCTGTTGCTGTTTATTGAATATCTGAAAAGGAAGAGGAAACACAGATTTGGAGCGCATTCCCTGAAACATTGTTATTTCCATACCCTAAAAACATTGTGTAAGTTTGATATTTTAAATGGTATTTTAAAAACGCACAACGCACAATTTTTTTGTAATGTTTTTGGATGAGGAAACAAGCTAATGCTATTGAAGATGACGTGAATTAACTCGTGAGGTTTCGGATTACTATAGCACTTAAGTGTACATGTACATCTCATAGAGATATTTGCACATTTTTTTTTTTGTCGATGATAATATCTGCATTCTGTACTAAACACCATGTTTTCCATATTTAATTATACTGTCAGAACAAAACTTGTTAAATTCCATTTTGTAGCCCCTGAACTGCGTACTATAGACTAAACTTTACATACCTCGTCTTGCAGTTCAAATATAGTGTTTGATGTCCACTACATATGTTTTGCCATACATAGAACAAAACTGAATAAGATATACAGTGAAACGGTGCAGGAACTGGGTGTGTGAGGGAGCAACTAGTGCCCTAGTGTGGCCGGTGCCGTAAGAAGACATGGGAAAGAGTATTTGTCGCAGTGACCAAAATTACTCCCGGAGAGGCACATTTTTAATTGAGTCATATGGTGTTTGCACAGCAACTGAAAACTAATTTTTAGGCAGAGTAATTCATTACATTGAGGGTCGTTATAGCAGGGGTTCAATTGCAATAGGAAGATGTGATCAGCGAGATAGTTATTTCATTCGCTCATTCAAACACTTCTGACGACGTTACAAAAATAATAGGGTATTTTCAGTAACCTAATACAAAGGTAATAGGTGACACTTCATCCCTAGTATTTGTCCTATTATGTTAAAGCGCCCACTTCTAGTTGTACACCTCACCTGTTCTTCCAAGTCTCTGATCTCTCTCACTGTGGCGCCCGTCTCTTCGATCATCTCCACCACTTGGCGGCACTCGGAATGAAGCTGCATCAGGAGTTTGTAGATTTTACGAGACGCGTTGTCTTGTTTACAGTCCTGGAATTAAAATACGATTAGGAGCCTGGTACGAGTAGTACTGATTAGTGATTATAATCCAAGAAACAGTGGTAGCAGGGTAGTTGCACTATTCTCAACCGTTTAGCACTTAGTAGTTTAAGCGAAAGATATCCAGATGTGGATTCTGTTGGTGTCTGTCTATGTATTTTTTCCAGCTGAACGCAAAAACTATCAAACAAACTGCACTGAAATTCTACACAAAGGTTAATCAAGAACCCACTTAAGATAGGCCTACAGTATTCATAGCAAATTGCAAGTCTTTGCAAAGCACAAATAAAACAACCAGATTCTAATAACAGGTTAGGTTTGGAGAGAAAGGGCTAATTGCCTGAGAATAGGTGTAAGAAAGGATAGGATAAGCAGGCTTACCTTAAAAAATGTAGGCATCCCACTTCATTCACTACAGAACACAGAAGAAAACACAAACAAACAAAATAAACACTGGATATTTCGAGGCCACTGGCCCCTTTCTCAACATGGAGAGTCACATTAGATATTCATGCATATCTAATGTGACTCTCCATGTTGAGAAAGGGGCCAGTGGCCTCGAAATATCCAGTGTTTATTTTGTTTGTTTGTGTTTTCTTCTGTGTTCTGTAGTGAATGAAGTGGGATGCCTACATTTTTTAAGGTAAGCCTGCTTATCCTATCCTTTCTTACACAGATTCTAATAACAGGTGATGATAGCCAAAACCTGACGCCTTCGAAGGTTTCAGAAACTGGAATTCCACATTGAAAAACATTTGGGGATTACCACCGTGTGCTTAAACACCAATTTGAACTGTCAAGGAAAGGTCCAATGTTATAAAACTTTGTTTTGACTAAAATTTCTTCCATCTTAACACTTCTCCTCATTAGCCGAGGAAAATAGAGAGACATGATTCATTTTAGTAGTATTTAAGGAGTTTGAGTAATAGTCACAGTGCACAAAACAAACTACTGTACACCACTTATATATCTTTACAAAAAGCATAAATTATATTTCAATCAATTTTCTAATAACGAATCTTAATTGTACTAAAGTTAAAACTAATGATACACTTCCTCACCCTGAATATAAGTTCATCTGCGTAAGTGAAGGATCTATCTACTCGGTCTGAGACAATATTAATATCTCTCTGCAACTGCTTGGTGTCTTCCACAATCTTATCTATCTCTTCTCTCTGCTTCTTTATGTTGCCGATGATTTCCAGGATTCTTCTTGTGTAAGCAGTTCTGAAAAAAAAATCCCCTGACATTGCATCATTGGTTTCATGGCTTCGCCATAATTTACACTAAAAGTAATTATTTTAGATCCCTAAAATGGTAGTTGCTACAGTTTTTTTGGAGAGAAATATCAAATTGTGATCTTTTTGGGAATGCATAAAACTCTTTATGTTGGTGGTAAAAACTCACTGTACTATACACAACAGCAACCCCTTTTTCATCGAATATGGCCAACTGCTTCGACTCAGGGGCATATGCTCGCATAATCCCAGGTTAACACAAAGTGAACGTTAGGTTCTCCTTGTAAAAAACATTACATACACATCTTACATCCACACACATTTTAATGATAGTATAACAATTGTTGATACTTTCTTTCTCTAACCTCACTTTACGCATTATCCAAACAAAGAGTTTCAGGCTGTTGACGGTACATAAAAAATTCAAAATGCAATAAATTTGATATTTTACCCCTAGAAGGGGGCTTCCTTCTTGAGATGAAGGGGAGGAAGCCACATTGTAGTGGTAAAATATCTAATTAAGCATATTGTGGATTTTTGTGAACTGATAACAGCCTTATGGTTTATCTAATGGAAATAATTTTTGGGTCAAGTTCAGGTTGGGTCTGGCTAAGCCAATTGACGATTTATGGCAATTGTGGATGTTGTTCACGGTTTTGGCACGATCATGGGAGACAATGATGATGCTGTGACCATGAAAGACATTCACAATTTCACCGTCACCACAGAAAATGTTGCCGATGATCTTCTTCTGTGATTCAATATCATGAACTCGCAGGAACCCTAGGGCCAAAATTTGTTTACCCGACCCGGCCTGCAGTAAAAACTTCTGCAGACTCCTAGTAGATTTACCCACCTGGTGACTTGAGTGTTGGACAGCTTATCATAGTCTTGCTGCAGTCTGGCTTGTAATGCCTCTTTGACTGTCAACTCTTCCTTCATCTCCCTCAGTCTCTCTCTCGTCTGTCTGGCTGTCTCTAGTTGTCTGGCACTCTCTGACTGTAACATATTGATAAAATTGGTATTTCTGGTCAAATATAAGGACATGTGTTTTAACTGTAGTATTCCATTTGAAGTGACTAATCTGTGTTATACATTTTAAAACAGTTATAGCTCACCATTACACTGTATTTCCTTCAATACATTTTAAAATCAGACAGTAAATAAAATATACAATCTTTTTAAGAGATAAAATTTGTTGTTACCAAGCATAAATCGTGCGTTGGAAAAAAAAAATTCAGTCTATAAACAAAACACACTTTTTATCGTGGCAGTAGCTAACCTAACATTTGAACATTTTTGCAGCGTTCAATGTAAATTTATCTGGTTCTTTTGTGTTCTACCATATGTGAGGCTTACTATGTTTCCCCATAATAATTTGTGAATGACTATAATCAAATGGCTAAAAATGGTGTAAGTGACGTGCATTACGATGCACTATTAAACTAGATACACGGGGTTTCCTTATTTTATAAAAGTCTCCAATCACAAGTGACATCCGAGTGTAGTGGTACAAATTTTAAACCAGTAGCAGTGGCATACTCCGAGCTAAACATTCTGTTGTCTCAAAGCTCTCTCCCCATTCACGTTATTTTAACAGTTAATTTGAAAATACTCTGATAACTCACGGCCTTGTCACTGAGCCGTTCTCGCGCCTCCCTATACCGCGCCACTAGAGGCGCTCGATGTTTCTCCCACTGAGTGCCCAGTCTCAGTAGAGTCCTCGCCTGCTCCTCCACCAGTTCCTGCAGCTTGCTCGTGTTGGCAGCACTGTCGGGCAGCAAGTCTAGCGTCGTCTGTCTCAGGTCAGCCTCACGCTTGCGCTTCGACAGCACTGCCTCTTGCTTCTGTCTCTCTGTGGCCACCTGAAATAGGAAACAACAGTGTTTTAAATTACTGGAAATCAAACTAACGAGTATAAACTTTAAGCTACCTTATAAGCGCTTGGCTTGACCTTGCGTGAGTGATTAAATTGGCTTGTTTTTACATGGTGAAATAGTCTCTGGATAACTGAAGCTTTAATGATTTTATTACCATAGTTCATCAAATAACCATGGGTTAAACAAAGTACACTACTATGGTGCATGAGTCAGTAGACATTGAAGTGGTATGGCGAAAAATATCCTAAGTCTTTCGTCCAAAATGTGTATGTTTACAGTACTTGTATGGTAAAGCCGCACTAAACTTTATCTCAGCAAGTGAACAACCATACTCGTCTGGTTAACACTAATTTCCAGACTAGTAAAACATAACGTACTATTGCAACCAACCCTTGACCAGTAGATCCTGGGACTTATCACACTACTACCATGTGACAATTGCCTTGTTTCAGAGGTTTACAGCCATTTATTTTGACATTAAAACAACAAATCGATTACCTGAGTAAGTTTGCTGGTTACAGTCTTAATGTCTACGGTAAGCTGGTCCATTCTCTCCCTCAATCTCTCTAGTTCTTCTTGCTCGTTAACATCATTCTTCTCTTGTTCCTCTACCTCTGGTTCTTTATCCTCCTTCTCTGGAATCTTTTCCCATTTTTTACTTGGCTCCTGTAAATCAAAACTTTATTTAGTTTTATTCTGTTTGAATTTCAGAATATGAATTTAAATAATACATTGTACTGTTCAAATCTCTCTAAGTAATAAAATCTCTTGTGCCACAGCGCACAACAGTTAGATGTGTAAAAAACAGGAGACAATAATTATTGTCCGACAATTACTGTCAGTGCAAGCGTTGACGTAATCTTTCAATTTCATTTTCATCAAAGGAACTGTGTTTCAAAAACAACGATGAGGGAGATTTGTTGTATCGAGGAAAAGACACTAATCATTTGTTTAGAAGAGCTTAAATTTGCTATATAGAGGTTATAATAATGATAAATTCTTTATCTTGAGGTGACTTATTCTAGGTAGTGTTTGCAGGGGTGTCCAGAAAATTCAGTTATTTGATTTAGTCATTTAGTCATCAAGCCTCATTACGATTTTCACCTACAATTTTAAATTGAAACAAATTTTGTGAGGAGATAATTTTGGTGTGATTAAAATTATATTGTTCCATGTGGAGGGAAGTAAAAAGAACGATGTCATGATATGTCTTTAAAAAAAAAAAAAACTAGCATTTGCATTTTATGCAAATTCAGGGGGTTTTAACCTGGGGTTTCTATTAGATTTGAGAAAGGAATTTTAAATAATACATTGTACTGTGTAAATTTCCATCTTGAAACAGATTCCAATATATTAGGCTAAGTTAAATACAAGGGCAAAATGAAATTCAAGTTTTGAAATTTATTCTTAGAATATTTACCGCTATGGAAGGTAAAAAGAGACGGGGGGAACTAAAAATAAAGATAATGCTTTAAACTGAGCATTTCTTGGTACAAAAACTGCTTTAAACTTGAGGTCCTTGTTCTAAGAACTAACTAGGCTACTGGGTCTTTAAAAATATGATAATAGCTATTTACCTTACAAGTGTAGTAAGAGCGTTTTTACATCACGCAGGTGAAGGTTGTGCAACGAGCGGAAGCGAGTTGCATAATTTACCTAAGTGATGTAAACACGCTCTTGCGTAACGTGTAACGTACAAGATTTTACCTGACCCGACAATATACAGGAGGTTACAAACAATATTAATCATTATCCATTTCACTCATCTTCTAACAGTAACGTTCATTTAAAAACAAAAGCTAGGTTAGGAAAATTCTTCAAAACATAACAATAAAATTCAAGAGCACAGCTGATTTCTAGCGTTGAACGTCGTTGGCTCCATAGAGGTATATTTTTTAAGTTAATCACCCAATGTTATTTAAATGGGTTTCATTACATCACCGAGTGAGTTTTTGATACTTTACATCACTCGAGAAGTAAGGAAGTTGTATACATCACGCTTGGGATAGGGAAGTTTAACATGGCGGGTTAGGTAAAAACATTAACAATCATTTATTCAAACACACATTTCTATTGACTCAAACATAAAACACATAAATTATGAAAATTAGCGGGTGATGTATGAAAAACATGAAGTTACATTTCCAAACCTACTGAGTAGGCTACTAGGCTAATTTTTTAATAGTTTGACACTTGAGATTGGCAACCTAAATTGGAATGAACATGTGGACAAAATCATATCAAAAATTAATTCAGGTTTATGTGCCTTGAGAAAAATGGCAGATTTATGTAGTCAATCAAAAATCAAACTAATATGCCATTCCTATATACATTCCCATATATCATTTGGCATCTGTCTTTATGGCTCCACCAAACAAGAAAATCTTGATAAAATTCAAAAATTACAAAAAAAAGCAATTTGGATCATTAAAAATCTTCATCAAGAAGTATCCTGTAGAGAACATTTCAAAAATCTTCAAATTATTACAGTTTATGGACAATATATTTTTGATACAATTATGGTTTACAAAACTTTGAATTCAAGCAAGCCATTAATAAACCATCCAATTCACCCATACAATACCAGAAATAAATCGGAAATCATACCCACTCATCACAGATTGCAACTCTACACAAAACAACCATCAAATGCAGGAGCAAAGTTTTTTAGAACTTTACCTAAAGAAATAAAAAAAGAAAATAATGTTAATAAATTTAAAATTAAGTAAAAAAATTATATTACATCAAATCCTATTTATTCAATTGAGGAGTATAACCAGTTGTAAATATGTATTATACGCTAAGCCCTGTTAGCTATAAGGAAATGACACTATTCCGTTGTATGATTACTCATGTACACATTATGAATAAAGATTGATTTTATTTGATTTGACCCAGCTGGTCTTGGTCATTAATAAAGCTACAAGGCATCTCATTCCATTCAAGAATCATCTTCCATTCTAATAGGATGAATTCGCCCATCTTAACTTGTATTATAAATCTTTGCTCTTAGTTAGGCTATATAAAACAATCTGATAAAATTAGTTCAGACTTGGCTTACCTTGGTGTACAGAAGAGACGAGGCAATCTGCATCCATGAGTTGACTGGTGGAGAGGAAGAAGAGGCTGCATCGAGGGGAGTGGAGGGGGTAGCAGAGGAGACAGGAAGTCCGAGACAGGTCTGCGCGTGATGTGAGATGATGGAGGGGAGTAATAGGCTGGTGTGCGGAACTTGTTCGTGGAGGAACGGCAACCGGTGAACACAGTATTCTCGCCATTCTGTAATCAAACGTACATTTCAAAACTCATTATTGAACGTACAAATTCAAATATTTTCTTTTTGAATTAACCACAATTGAGTGATTATAATTGACAATGAAATAATTTACTAAAACATAAAACTTTCACAAATATAACATAAACGGTATCAGCATTCTGACACATACTTTCTCCCATAAGTTTGTCAACAACCTTTATCATGTGTAAGCGGTGAGAGTAAATATACGGAAATGGGATTTATACAATTTTGTTCACAATTTATAGGACTACATACTAAATTTTTATCAAAATCTTTCGGGCCATTTTTGTGAAAATCGGATTTTTCCGTTATTTTATGGGGTTTTATGGGAAAATAACATAATTTACAATAACTTTTGAACCATAATTTTTACAGAAATGGGATTTGTACCATTTTGTTCAGAATATAAAGGACTATAACATACAACATTTTTATCAAAATCGTTCGGGCCGTTTTTGGGAAAATCCTATTTTTCAGTTATTTTATGGGGTTTCATGGGAAAATTCCCATTAAAAATAAAAAAATTTTAAAAATGAAAAAACTATCAAAATTTTAAGGACCATAACATACTATGTTAAAATAAAACCGGATTTTTTTCTAAAATCCAATTTTTCGTTATTTTATGGGGTTTTTATGGGAAAATAACATAATTTACCATAACTTTTGAACCGTAATTTTTACAGAAATGGGATTTGTACCATTTTGTTCAGAATTTAAAGGGCCACAACATACTACATTTTTATCAAAATCGTTCGGGCCATTTTCGAGAAAATCCGATTTTTCTGGTTTTTTATGGGTTTTTATGGGAAAATCCCCATTAAAAAACAAAATTTCAAAAAAATGAAAAAAACGCCTAGAGATACCATAGATTAGAACCTACATACCAAATTTCATCGAAATCGGACCACAGGTGTAGTCCCTAGCTCTGTACACATCCAGACACACAGACACACACACACACACACACACACACACACACACACACACACAGACATCACTTTGAAAACCACTTTTTTGGGTCCAGGGGGACCCAAAACGGATATATCCACTAAAAACTCAAACTCGAAAATTTTGACGAAAACAATACTTTCTCCATATACTATGGTAGCCTATAGGGGGAGAAAGTAAAAAGATTTGTCTATGTGAACCGATTTCTTGTCAACAATTTAAAAAAATATTATTTACATGTATAGGCCTACTATAGGTACTATAGGCTATATTATATTTGTATATATAAAACCAGTGCTTGAATTGTGGTGGAACTGCTGTGGTAGGTACCTCTCTTTTGGAAGGATAAACATATTAGCATAAATAGGTATGTAGGTACTAATCACAGTAAATAGGTTACAGTTCCGGAACCTCATTTTTTTACAAATTGAGCACTGTATATAAATATCACTAACAAACAAGTAGCCACACAGTGAAAATTCTTAATAAATATCTATATATTCTACATTCCACAATATTCTGTAGGTCCCTTAGTTGCCATTAGCTGTATGGGCTATTAATTAACAGCTGTGCCTAAGGAACATGTCGGCCTTAGTCACTAACACGACTACAAGATCGCGCCACTCATCCTACACTCATCCTTCACTCATATTTGGGTTAAAATACGCACATAGTGGCGTCCCCATCTTAAATAATTGATAATTGATAATTGATTCAGGTTATCATATATGAATTCAGAAACCCTGTAGGGCCTATTAAGGTTTGTAAATTTGTATAAATCTTTTAAAACTGTGCATTTCTGTTTAAAAAACAAGCAATCAGCTTGTTGAAAACTTAATCGCTATTTAACTTGGGGACTTTTACGTAAGGTTAAAGAATAAATTGGGTATTGGAATTTTATCTTTAAATCAAGTATTGTAATGTTTATGATTGATTGTGTACTTTAAACTTCTAAGATCATGCATGAAAATTAAAGAAACTATAAATGTGCAAAGATTTGTCAATATCTCCAGTTTTATACAATGTTTAACCTCTATGAGAATCATAAAAAAGCATTTAAGGCATTTTTACAGTTATAAGGATAACCTAGCTGAAATATCTGTACACAACAACAATTTTGAATCCTCTAATGTGCTGGTGAAAAACCAAGCATAACACTGATATCCTTGTTTTAACATCCACCAATTCTCTCAATATATTACATTTAATGGCATGATGACCTCAATTAAGTTATTCAATACTTCCACATGTGGTTTCCAAGACAGACTCCAAGTATATTGATAAATTTGTATTCAGTAAATGTTCAAATTTCATAAAGAAAACATACCTTGAGGCGTACAGTCCCTCTTCTGGCCGGGGAGAGAGATTCCAGTCTCGAGAGGCACGGAGACGAAGGATGTTGAAGCCGAGGTAGACTCCGAGGGACAGTAAGGTATTGTCAGCTGCTGTCTCAAGGCTATGGCAAACCTCTGGCGCAAACTGGACGATGATTCTAAAAACACTCTTCAAGTTGAACAATCAGTTATAATAGGCTATGCTTAGCCTTATTTAATTGTTAACAAATGCTAATTAGACTTCTTCGATATTTTTGAGGATAGCAGGCTTACCGGAATGGGAAAGAGTCCAGACAACAAACATAAAACTTAACACTATAGTCTATAGGCTACACAAAACATAAGAAATATTTCACTGTCACTAGACCTAAAGAAAACTTGCTTTTTCTTAGTTGTGGATGCTGTCAGTGACGGTGAAATATTCTTTTGTATATGTAGTGTAAAGGTTGTGTTTCTTCTGCCAGTGTGGACTCTCTCCCATTCTGGTAAGCCTGTTGTTCGTACAAAAATCCTAAAAACATAGATCTGTGTAATCTATGTTACATCCTTTACAATTATAGATTTAAATTAAAATTTGTTTATTGAATCCAGGATTAAGGATATTAGCCTAAGTAAAAAATGTGGTAGGGCTACAGTTCCGCAGAGAACCTACGATATATTATCGGCAGAAATGTGAGTTCGATATAATATCGATTAAAATATTTTAATCAACATAAATATTGATTATCTGTTATAGGTGGCCCGATATTATTTTACAGTGTGCTTCTTGCAGCAATTAGGTTAGATTAGTTTATTTCATGAAACTCATGGTAAAAGAGGATAGAAGGCCTACAAATACAAATTGATGTAAAAGTAAATTTATCTCTTTAACAAATTACACATTATAGATTTTTTAAATGTTTATTTTATAAATTCTACCTTGTTTGTTATTTCCATGACCTAAACTAAAGGGGGAAATCCTAAAAGTGTTAGGTACCCTACATTTATTGTGTCTTAAGAAAGGAAAAATGTGTAGGGAAAGAAAACTCTATCAGGTAAGGAACTATCTATCAAGGAAGTAACCGTCTGTCAGAGAAAGAATAATCTGTAGGAAAAAGGACTAATAATCGAAAAAGGAAGTTAACCCACAATCTTTTAATAAGAGAATGCTTATGGATTGTTTTCTCAGTTCCAATAGTATTCAAAGTAGGATGAATTTTTATCCGTAACTGACTTATTCCTATTGTTTTTTTTAAAGAATTACCTTCAGGTTGTGAAGACGTTTTGTCTGATTCTTTCGGCAACTTCTCAACCAGAAACATAAACACTTTTCTAACATCAGCTTCAGACGCATACAGAAATGTCTGATAACCAATCTCTCCAGTATATCCCAATTCCTGTTGAACAGTAAAAGAATGATAAGACAATAGTAGTGGGGAGATTGGCTGCACTTTACTTGACGTCCTACACTCATTCAATTGTTTTTTTCGATTCGATATTTTCATTCGATTGTTTCATTCGATATATCGTTTGGTTAGTTAGGTTAGGTTAACCTTACCTAACTAACCAAACGATATATCGAATGAAGCAATCGATTAATCGATCGATATTTTCATTCGAATGAGTGTAGGACGTCAAGTAAAGTGCAGCCGGGAGATTAGTACCTATACAGAATTGAGTCTACTAAATATAGCTTGAAAAGTGTTTACCTGGTTTAGTTAATCAATCATAAGCCTAATACATTTTGTCTTATCTCCTAAAAAATAATTTAAAATGTATATATTAACACAGATGCTGGTACATGCTAAATTTTAAAAGCATTGACAACTAACAAGCCAAAACATCAAAACAAATAAATAAACACTTTTAAGTGACACCATATCTTGATGCAAATAAAAATGTTATAATAAACAAAACTATGTTAACATCTGTTTTGGGATAGATTTTGAAAAAAGTTCCAAAAATATAATTAGAAAATTTTTTTACAAGTATTTATTTACAATCTATTCTATACTAGAACAATAAGTAAATTTAATAACCATTTTAACATGGGTAAGTTACACTCCATCAAGTGCACTAACATACAAAAACGTTTAAAAAGTTTAACTAAAAACGATTTGGAAGGTCTATTGGATTAACTCTTTTGAGCCTATATGTAGCTTCACTATTATCGAGGAGGTTAACTGCCAGGAAATTTGGATGGCTTTCTAATTTTCTTTGATATTTTTCACTTCGTATTTTTATTTCTTCTCTAACATATGGTAAATTTGTATCTTGATGAATTACTTTATTTGTGACAAACCAAGGTGCTTGTAAAATCTTTCTCAGTGTTTTTGATTGAAATCTTTTAACTGTTTCTATGTTTGAGTTGGAAGTGGTTCCCCAGAGTTGGATACCGTAGGTCCAAATAGGTTTCGTTTCAATATAATTTTGTATAAAAGTAATTTATTTTCAACAGATAATTTTGAATTTCGACCAATGAGCCAATTTAGATTGTTTGTTTTTAAATTTAAATGAAGTCGTTTGTTCCAAATGTGTGAATGCCATGTAAGGCGTCTGTCGAGATGCATACCAAGGTACTTAACTTCGTTGGATTGTGGAAGCATGACTTTATTCAATGTTACTGGGGGACAAGTTCTTGTAGACATAGTAAATGTAACTTGAAAGGATTTTGTTTCATTTACTTTAATTTTCCAATTCTGTAGCCACTGAGACAAATCGTCTAATCCAACCTGAAGGTTTGATGATGCCAGAATAGGATCCTGATTTGATGATAAAAAAGCAGTGTCGTCTGCAAATGTTGCAACCGTAATACCCTGAGTACTTGGAAGGTCATAAGTGAACAAAATATACAAAATAGGTCCAAGAACACTGCCTTGTGGTACACCTGATTAAATTTCATGCACATCTGTAACTATATCTTGATATTTAATTTGAAAAAAGCGTTTGGACAAATACAACTTCAACACTCCATAGTATGTATGGGGCAGCAAAGTTTTAATTTTGAACAATAATCCTGTGTGCCAGACTTTATCAAACGCCTGGGCTACGTCCAAAAAAGCAGATGAACAAAAACGTTTATTTTCAAGATCTTCCTTGATTACATTCACTATTCTATGCACTTGCTCAATGGTGGAATGCCTTCGGCGGAATCCAAACTGATGGGAAGGCAACAATTCTTTTTCATCAATTATAATTTGGAGTCTTTAAAAAAAAAGTTTTTCAAAAACTTTAGAAACCACGGGAAGAAGAGATATAGGCCGATACGAGGATGCTTGATTTAAAGGTTTACCAGGTTTCGGAATAACAACAATTTGTGAAACCTTCCACTGTATTGGTAAGTATTCAAGGCGTAAAACTGCATTGAAAAGTACTGTAAGGAAAACTATTCCTTTTCTAGGAAGCTCTTTCAACACTTTATCTGTTATCAGATCATAACCAGGGGGCTTTTTTGCCATTTAAATCGTCTTTTATTACTTTAGCTACTTCAGATGGTGTGAACAATTTTATTGGTAAATCAAGTTGATTTGGAGAATCGAGGAATTCCAAAATTTCTTGTTCAACATTTGAATTAATATTATATGGCTTGAACACTTCCTTGAAGTATGAAGCAAATACATCTGCTTTCTCGATGTTGTTTTTGGCCCAAGAACCGTCTTCTTTTAGAATAGGTGGAATGCAAATTTGTGGACGTTTTAAGTTTTTTGTAACTTTCCAAAGGTAGTAGTCACTAGCTTCAGATGGAGAAAGGTTTGATGTGAAATCTTGAAATCTGTCATTGTTTAATTTAAACAGTAACCTTTTTAGTTGTTGAGTGGCCCTGTTTATATTTCTTTTATCCGTCTGGTCTCTAGAGTTTTGCCATATTCTACGGAGTCGGTGTTTTTTGGCAATTTTCCTATTAATTTCAATTGGATAGCTTATTCCTGATTTTAAATTATGTTTATTCTGGTCTGGAGTTGCTCTCCAAGCGGAGTCTTGAACTGTTTTGTTGAAATGTTCAACAGCAAGATTCAAATCTTTTTTGCTCTTCAAACACACAGAAATCTTTAAATTTTGATCCATTAATTCACGAAAATAATTCCAATCTGTATTTTTGTTGCATAAATGTGGTGGAATAGGTTTGAATATAACATTTGAAGCGATCGTTAAAATTACAGGTGAGTGGTCTGAGGAAAGGTCCAGAGATTGCTCGATTGTCAAACAATCTCGGGATACACCTTTTGTAACAAAAAAAATCAAGAAGGTCTGGTATTTTTTGACGATCAGAGGGCCAATATGTCGGTTCACCTGTCGATAGAGTATCAAGGTTCCGTTCTTGGATTGACTGCAATAGTTGTCGACCTCTGGGAGTTGCCAGACGGGAGCCCCATGTAAGATGTTTGGCATTGTAGTCTCCTCCTGACAAAAATTTACAGCCTAAAGTGCAGTAAACTAGTTGGCGTGTAATGTTGTGTCTAGGTGGGCAGTAAATAGAACTTATAGTAAGTGGGCCTGTCTCAAACTCCACTACAACAGATGAACTTTGGATGAAATCGAACTGATATTTTGGCAATTCATGGTGCTTGATATGACTTTTAATCAAGATAGCACAACCAGTGGCGTAACAGTATTTCCCCGGGCCCCCCCGCAAAAATGTCTGTGGGCCTCCTATCCTACTACCCCTCCCATTCCCCACCACAGCACTATATACCACAACCATATCACCACCCCACAACTATCACATGACGTAGGTGACGGCAGGCATACGGCCTACACGATCAGACTGGCAGAGGATGGTCTCTAGCAATATCAAGTATTTACCTATTCTTCAACCACACGACCAGAGTCGTCCTTGAAACATATTTTATATTTTGTCACTGTCACAGTGATAATAAACTTGGGAGTTATGTCCGTGATTAATATATATGGGCTACTCCATTACTCCACCATTCACATTCATTACTAAACTCAACCAAGCTTCCAACTATAATTTGAGTCGGGACCACGAAAGTTTGCAGTTGAGGGAGTAGCCTATTTACCATTTGACTTCAAATGAGCCAATGAGGGCAGTGCGGTGTTGCCAAATCGAATAATACCAGCTGTTTTAAAAATATTGTTTAGTATTTTAATTAGTGTCGTCAAAGGGCGATATGGCAACGTCGCACTAGTCTTGTGATTGGCTGCCGCCAACTGCAAACTTTCGTGGTCCCAACTGTAAATGTTAGTGCTTCACTAAATTAGCCCAATTTAATGACATGACACCTGATTGAGAAACTCTCGCGACATGCACTACTGACGAGTCACTCGCAATCCGCATGGAATGGATCTCCAAAATCAGGTGATCTACGGTCAGCTCGTCAGCTGAGTACACATGAGCTGTTAGTGGGGGAGGGGGGAGGCGGAGGGGCTGGCTCCGAGTGTGTGTTGCCACGGCGCGGCGGCAGGCCGGCAGGCAGGCACACAGCTCCTAGCGCTAGCATGAAGCTACACAACCACACTGACAATACACATCGTCGGGTGATCGTAGTGAGCGTTGGCGTTTCGTTAACAATATTGTTAATTAAAAGATAAAACTTTAGTAGATTTGGCAGAATAAAAGTATCTACCAACATATCGTTTTTTATTTATAATTTGTCAGGAGAGAAAAACATCCGTGAACAAAGGATCGGTTTTACGGACGGTTTTATGAGAAAAGGGTATCTTAACCTCGCGGGCCCCTAAACCTCGCGGGCCCCCCCGCACCGCGGGGTCTGCGGGGGCGGCTGTTACGCCACTGAGCACAACCTCCATGAGCTCTATTGCTAGGATGGTTAGTGTTGTATAGACTGAAATTTGGAATTTTACAAAAGTTTAAATCAGTAAAGTGAGTTTCAGAAATAAGAATAATGTCCAACTTATGTTTTAAATCAAAACATGGCAGCTGGTTATCCTGTATACCATTGAAGAAATTAAATTTAGACATGTCACTCCAAGAATTTAAGGATTCCCTGGCACTGAGATACGGTCGGACACCAATCAATTTACCAACCAAATGTGATGGCTGTGGAAAAGAATTTAATACAGACCATGCCCTTATATGTCCTGTAGGTGGCCTAATTATAAAAAGACACAATGAAATTAGAGATACTTTAGGAAACATTATGGAACAGGCATGGGGGAATTGTATCAAAGAGCCCTTTTAGCAGAGAATGGAAATGCAAACGGGCCTGCAATTAAAGCTGACTTGGCATGTAGAGGGGTGTGGGAGACACAGAGGGAAGCTTGATATCCGTGTCGTAGATACCGATGCTCCCTCATATGCCTCCAAACCTCATGACAATGTCATAAAAAATGCAGAAGAAGAAAAGAAAAGAAAGTATATGTCAGCCTGTGAGAGCCGTAACGCCTCTTTCACTCCTTTGATAACATCAGTTTGCGGAATCCTAGGCAATGATTTTCAAACACTAATAAGAGCATTAGCTGAAAGATTATCAGAAAAATGGGTTAAGCCTTACAGCCTAGTAGTTAATTGGACAAGAAAGAGACTGACTTGCTCAATTTTAAGGGCAACAAGCATGTGTCTGAGAAGATCTCGAAAAAAATGGAGATCTGCTTGAGAATTCGAAGATGGAGCAGGCATCCAACATATATATTGAAAGAATCAAAATTTTTTGTAATATCTGTAATATATTTTAAGTTATAATAAACATTTTATTGTTAGTTCCGTCCGGTGCACTGTAGAGTTTGTGTTTTGTTTACAATTATTTGTTTCTTGTTATTTCAGTCATTTAAAACCATGGTGGAAGGAAAAACATAGGTGTGCTATTCCCGTCATATGCTGACATCACCCAGATTGCAAATAAAAAATCACCTGATTGTATTGCCATACAAGTATAGCCTATATTTGTTTTGATTTGATTGTTATTATTTTATAATTTTTTCTAAATGATGAAATGGTGTTTGCAATCTGGGTGACGTCAGCATTCGACGGGAATAGCACACCTATGTTTTTTTCCTTCCACCATGATTTAAAACCTTGTTTAACCAAATAAAATGATGTAATCATAAACAATAACTCGTCCACTAGTTATATAACCAAACAGTAAAGCACAAATCATAAAACTAACCCTAAAATAGAAATAAAATTTTCTCAACACTAGCGACCAGTGTCACTAACATGAACTAGACAAGAAAAATTAGCTTCAAAATTTACAATGGGATGAAAAGTCTACAACACTATAAGAAAATCTGGTTGATAACAATTAATTTTATGAGCAGTTAACTTTATATTTTTTAATTAACGTTTGATTACTCAAACATGTTTAAAACCCATAATAAAAATAAATAGAATTTCAGCAGAGCAAAATATGAAGTTGTTAGATCATATATTTCAATTTAAAAAACCCAACAACGTAAACATTGAATCATGTCTATAATTAGTCGATTTTATTGATATTATTTTTATGAGCTGACATTTCATTTACAGTAGACTCCCTCTTATCCGGACACCTTTTAACCGGACATCGGTTTAACTGGACTACACTCGGCAGAAATTACAACTCTTTAACCGGACAATTTGTATCAGCACATCGATTTAACCGGACTAGATCGGCAGGAAGTGGGCAGTACTGAAGCTACTGTTCTCGTGGGAAAGATTTGAGACCAGTGATCATGTCTCTAAATACGATGCTCTCCTAAAATTAAGTCAAATACTGTATTACAGTATGCATTTAAACGGTCCTTTTAAACGAGTTTTTGGAGATCGGTTTAACCGGAAAACCCGTTATCCGGACTGGCCTCGGTCCCGAGAAGTGCAGATAAGAGGGAGTCTACTGTAAACTCAGTTTAATTTAACACAATTTAGGAAACTGATAAGAGGGAGTCTACAGTAAACTCAGTTTAATTTAACATACATTTAGGAAACTGTTCCACTTTTACTTTCTCAAAGTTTTAAATGCAAATTCCTCAGCTCTATCATTGAAAATCTGCAATGAAACATGTTCTCAGTATTTTTTTGGTTAGTTAATACTTACGATGCAAGCTTCCGCTATCACAGTCCCCAGTTTATACCTCGAGGACATGGAAGGAGGCAGTTTTGAGGGAATGTCGAGTCCTGGTTGTATGACATTAATACACCGAGCTGCTGATGCTACAACCATTTCAGCTGTGAACTGCCGTAGGCTTACCACGTCTTCTTCAAAGGTGCTGTGGGAGAGAAAATATGATTAATTTTACATAAGCTGTGTTTATATCGGAGTTATTATTTTTATTTTTATTTTTTTTTTTTTTAAGAGGTTGGTGGCCTCTTTTAACCTTGCATTTGCCTGTCCACATAGACTAGAGATCTGTGCGTGGAACGTATCCAGCAAAGCAAGGGGTGAGCCGGTACAGTACAAAGGTGAACTGTACTGATAAAAGTTTTATGGCAGTGACCAGGATCCGAACCCACGACACTTCTGCCTTGGGCCCAAAGTCTGTGACGCTACCAACTGAGCCTCTGACTCACCTATAAGTTACACTACCGTAGTCTTTTGTTTGACATAATGTCAATTATTTTAACAGTTTTTGGCATTTACAACAGAAATTTTGTTTTCCACAAGAAATAGAAAACATATGTTTACAAAAATATTGTTTCGAGTTGCACCTACACTGGAGTTTACAAAAAAACCTTTGAACTTGTAAAAAGGGTTTTAACTGAACCGCTTGAACATTTATTGCCTAAAAAGAATACAAATGAGCTGGAATATAAGTTAACACGTTCGCGGCGGCACGTCAAATGGCGGGCGTATCCCCAGTACGGCGCAGCCCTCAGCGCCGAACAAACCCAATTGCCGCGTGTGATTGGCTTTCCAAATTCGGTCTGACGAATAGCAAATAACGTGCGAGGATGTCCTGCTTTACAACGAGAGTCGACGTAGTTCGCTGAACACCCACAGATAGCAGCACTGCTTGGAACGTAGCCGGTCCCATTGGAATTGTATTGCCAAACGGCGGGAAAAAGACGGGACAAAAAGTAGATTTTAAAATTGCCAAAAGGGGATTTTACGGGATAATTTACTACCAACCTACACCACAACAAAATACAGTATACTATTGAGCAGTACTTTGCGAGGTTTCAAGTTTCTAGCTCTAATCCTGGCTTAAAAATAAAATCATTTCGTACCGCATTGCAGCTTGGGAGCGATCGCACCCACCAGGATGGCATTAGGGTTCCGTATGGGAGCGATCGCTCCCATGCCGCCGCGAACGTGTTAAGGAAGTTTGTTGTGGCATGCTATCCCCATTATTTTAGAAATAGCTTAACCCATTCCTGACTGAGTTATTTGTCAAGTATCATGCACTTGGCTTAAAATACCTACTTTGTATGGTCGCCATTTCGTAGAACAGTATTAACAGTTGTTAGAACTGAGTAGCTAAATAAGGGCCAATGTACAATGTTTTAGTAAAAAAACTCATTAAAAATGTAATGAAATAAATACCTAGCCATACATAAATATAACAATAATGTTAAATAAAAACATATTTTATAGCAATTTTCAATACGTATATATGCATTTTATATAGGCCTATATATATAAAATTTCTTTTGAAAGCAACCTTGAAAAATAAAAAAAAATTATCTATTTCTTGGTAGCTAAAATTTATAAATAGTAGGCCTAGGTAGGCCTATTCAATTTGTTACACAAAAAACTAAATTTGGTTTGTTTAGCCTATAAAATCCTTCATTTTATAGCTGTTTTTGTAAAACTACCGTATGCAAAACGACAAAATAGGCCTAGGCCTAATACAATTGTTGCACCAAAATTTCACGTGTTGGCTACTAAGTTAAAATGTTGGGAGTATTTAAATAAATGTAAAATAATATTCTAAGCATAATTATTACCCTACTTTACATTGGGAAAATTAGGTTAATCAATAATAATGCATAATAAGCTAATAATAACGGATAATAATGCATTAAGCGTGAGGCCCGTCCTTAATCTTTCGTAACCTGACATGCTAACCTACTTTTAACTTACATAATCTAACCTACCTTCAAAGGACTTAAGCTTATGTAGTCACAAATACGCATAAAGCATGGCCTGCCCTCACCACATGTCTTTTCTCTGACAAAACCAATTAATAGAATCATACAGCAAGTTTGGTTAGTTTAGAAGAGTTCCATTTTTTACTTAACGCTTAAATTATTTTGCTAGAGGTTTGAGGCAGCCCTCAAACCTCTAGTTTACTGCCGGACTCTATAAAAGCCACTGTCAAACACAACACATTTATTTACAAGCTTAAACAATATTTAATCAATAGGCCCTACTACACCACAGCAGAGTATATCGAGGAACACACTTTTCAACACCTTAGATAACGGGGCTCACTTCGAGAACCAAACAGATGAATCTTGACGATTCCCCAATCACCCGATTGCGGAGAAGACTTCAGAAGTAAGAAGTAAGTAAGTAAGTAAGTAAGGGTTCATAATAGCATCATGGTTGAATCTAAAGTGCAATGACTTGCTACTAAATACTGGTTAAGTTGATGGTGGGATGGACAGGGGAGTAAACTTATTCGGGGCATTTGTAAATCGAGTAACACATTTCCTTGAATATCTCGCTCATCAGATCGTCATTCCGGTTAGTTTGAGTAGCCTACCGGTGCATGACGTATTTTGTTTGAGTAGCCTACCGGTACATAACATGTTTTGAATAAGTTAAAGGGCTGCACTTTACTTTAGGTCCTACACAAACAACTAAATGAAAATATCAATTATTCTATTGTTTCATTTGATATATCGTTTGGTTAGTTAGGTTAGGTTAACCTTACCTAACTAACCAAACGATATATCGATCAATATTTTCATTTGAATGAGTGTATGACCTAAAGTAAAGTGCAGCCAGTTACGGTTTTTTATTGTTTTTTTTTCAGGGTTTTTGGCGTGGGGGAATACCATTTTCTGTATCAGCATTGAATTTAAAGTAGAAAGGGGAAAAAATTCAAAAATCAGATGCAGACCCTAAAATGCATATTTAACCTCAAAAACCTAACAAAAGCATCGGCCTTCCAATTACTGTACTACCAATATTTAACTTATACAGCCTTTGTCTAATTGCAAAGTGAGGTTATGTTATGTAATCCAGTTGTCAGTTGTTGTAACAGTTTAGTCTTTTGTCAAAATGACTTCAAATACTAAGTTAACAAACCTAGAGTTTGTGCCCTTTCCATAAAAATTCCTCTTGGCAGTATGGTAAAGTGACAAAATAATGTCTAGCGTTATATTCAGAAATATTCATTACCTTCTAAGTTACATACATGGATAGCCTACAAGTTACTAGGCTACTATTATATTTAATTAATACATTAATAGGTCTAATAGCACCACACTAGATGCTAATGAGTTTTAGAATAAATAAAGTGAATAATTAATTATTTGTAACTAAACTAGCAGTTAGTTGTAGTGTTTTTACTATTAGCTTGACAAGTCAAAATTAAGACAAATTAAAATGTTCCTGATCAGGGGCAGGGTAATGTTAACTTATAAATGTAAAGTTTTAATAAAATGCACTCACCAACCGATTTCCTTGAACGATTGAAGAATTATTTTATCGACTTCTTCCATTTTATGACAAAAGTGTGCTACTGCAATAACCCGTTTACATAACAAGTAATAAAGAATCAAATAAATATAAATAATTTAATCCCTATTCCTATTCCCTAAAGTGACAGGACACTACCACTACTAGTACAGAGACAGACAGCCCGACAGCCGGAACGGTGACGACAGACTAGACCTAGACCGACACCGACCAGACCGCTGAATTTTTATTTCAGGTTTAGTGTTGCCTACAGTATTATTTTGAGGCTTCTGATTGGCTGAGGGAACAGTAGTCCTGGAGGGAGTATTTCAAAAGTTCCAAAATCGGAAGATCCAAAGAATATATTGCCGATCGGAAGTTCCAAAATCGTAAGATCCAACGTTTATATTGCCGATCGGATCTTCCAAAATCGGAATTTCCAAAGGTTATTTAGCGGGTCGGAAGATCCAAAATCAAAAGATCCAAAGAAAATATTTCCGATCGGAAGTTCCAAAATCGTAAGATCCAAAAGTACAGTCATAACTAGAAGTACAAATTTATTTCTTAAAGTAAACTTATGAAATAGACTGTCCTTTTCACTTTGGAAGTTGTGATCATATGCCGGGTCGGAATTTCCAAAACGCTACTAGTCAGATCGGAACATCCAAAATGCTAGAACTGTTGCGTCTCTCAGATTGAAGGCGTAAACACACGTCGTCACCAGCAACGTTAATGGTTATTTGTTTTGTTAATTGATATTTTAATTAATATTTTTTTATTAGTATTTTCAAGTACACACACTTAAATACACACGCATTCATACATACATGTATATATGGGACTTTGAAGGCATGCAGGGCTAGTGTTGGTATTGTTTACTATTTATTTTCAAAAGTAAAATAACGTGTTTATTTTTATTCTTAAAAGATGGTTTAAGTATTAACCTTGACAATAACAATACTAAATTATCTGGCAAACGTCTTTAAACAAATAATAACTTATTTTTATAGCTTACTAGTGTCCCTGTTGCTCGAATTCGAGCAATTGCTAAGTAAATATTTGTAGCAAACTGTTATAATACTATATTAGCAAACTTATTGACTGTTTAGGGTTAACCTATGCTCTTCTTCTCACTTTTGATTTCTGACAACAGCTGGAGTTTCATAACAATTTTTGTTTCCAATGTTAATCTTATGGAGAAATACGAAACTTTAAAGGGCTCCAGGGCCTCACTCTCTCATTATTTCCCTAAAAAGAAAGTTTCCTGCACAACTTCATGCTACGCTCTTTCCAATGACACCAAAAAACATGACAATCGGTTCAGTAGTTTCGGAGGAGTAATTGTCACAAAAATCCTGCTTGCGTATTAAATAAGTACTAGTGGTCGTCCTGTGGTCGAAACTCGACCAAAAAATATTAATGTACAGACTTCTCTATTTTCTCCCCACACTGTAAATAAAACATGTGATTGGAATTTCTTCCCTTTGTTTTGATTTTCTGTTTACATTTTGTTGTTATTTCGTCACCATCATGGCAACCCATATGGTCCATGTTAATTTTTTGAAGTTTTCAAATTCATTTTTTGTGCTTATTTGTTAGCCTATTTTAATTTTTAAAGGCATTCTGCACATCTACAGTAAAATATCTTTCCAACAGTATGCGTAGATGTTCCCTGCGATGCACACGAGCTGAGAAAAAAGGTTTTAAAGAAACATGCTTGCCTATTAATATATAGATAGATAGATGACAATTTGTGTTTACTCCGTAAGAGAATCCAGAATAAATCATTTGAAAAATGAAAAGATAATGAATTTGTCGTGGTTTATTTGAGTTGAACTATTAAGTTGTAATAGTGCACTAGTAACCAACGCTAAATATTTGAAGTTGTTTCCGGTTGTTGTAACAAACAGGTAGTTTCAAATTTAATTAAATTGAAATTGTAACGTTAAATTATATTTAGTTTTCCCCACAACTAGCGAATGTCTGCTGTAACCTAATTCAAGTGAAATTTAATTTTTTCCTTACAAAGAATGTGTTTTATCAAAAAATGTAAAATGTTCAACTGTATATCAAACATTTGCGTCTAATCAAGTTTTGTTGGAGATTCAATTTGTGTACCTAAGTAAAAGGTTTTGTTGTAACAATTTTAAGTCATGTTTGAAAATACTTATTGTTCTGCAAACTATCGCTTAATCGTTGAAGATATGAGAATTGACTTATACGACATAGTTTTTTTGTCTTTATATGTGTAAATAGCTGTTCTGAATTAAACTGTTTAAAAAATTGACTACTCGATTCCCGTGCGTTCGACTGACCAACATTTGTACATTAACTCCCTTTACTATTCAAATACTGTTTGCGTAACTGTGATGTATATGGGTTGCGTTCTGAATCACAAGGCACTGTAATTATAGATAGGGCTCAGATTATTAATTGACGAATATTGTGTAAATAAAGCAATTGTTTTAAATCCGCTTATTAAAAGTATGCTATCGTAAACGAATCAATTTAGCATTTAATTTGTTTAAATAATAGTGATATATTGTTACCAAATGCACAACAATTATTTTCAATAAATGTGTTTCAAGTTGGTGTCGTTTGAGTGCACAGGCGTCAACTCAATGTTTCACCCGTATTTAATGGTAGATTGTACAAATTGTAAACACTATTTTTTATAGTTGAAACAAAATATGGACAGGTCTAATTAGTTACATAATTATTTAAATTAATTATTTCATTATAATAATCTTTCCAGTAAAAGATTTATGCTCCAATAGGACTTACCAGTTTTCGGCTTCAACTAATCAACGAAAAGTCTAGTGTGGTACCGGTACCGAGAGATAAATTATGCCCCTTACCTATAAAAATAATCGTATTTTGCATGATAAATGTTTAAAAAAACTGGAGTAGGATCTTAAATATTCCTTTTTTAATTGCATACCTTATTCAAGTTGTTATTAGTTCTGCGATGAAATTTCTACGGTATTTAATAGAATTATATTTGTATTGTAATAAAACATGTCTCTGTAGTATATTTCTTTAACAATTAAATGTAATTAACCAAACTCAGCAAGGATTAGTCACCCGTTACTATATTTTAGTTTAATATTCATTTATTTTTGTTTAAGGTATATTATTTTCTACAATTTAAAAACATTTATTAGAAGTCTAATTGTCTAAATGCAAATTTACTTGCCCTTATTGTCCTGCCATGTAGGTATAAAATAAAAAAATGAAAGTATTGTAGAAGAGGGTTCGTGTAAAGGTAAATTTAATGAAGAATACGCAGCCCAGTAATTTGTTGATATTGTAAAGAGTGTGATATTTCGTTATAAGTCTCTTTGAACTGTGAAGGATCCAAACAGTAAACAGAAAAATAAGTGTTACACTGGAGTAAGTGTTATGTTAAAAATAAGTGTTATGTGGAATTAGTACTGGAAGGTGCTGAAGACTGTACAGTATGTAGAATCATTTGTGTTCGATAACTAAAGTGAACCTTCACAAAACTACAGTAACGGTAGGCCTACAGTGGTAGACTGTGGAAGTATAGTAAAGCTGTAGTTAATTTTCCACAACAAATAAACTTACAAATGTTACCTACAATTAATGTGGATCTTCGGTTTCTAATGACTCAATTTTTTACTTTTATGCCCATAACATTTATTGTACTCCCATTGATTATGGTTGCTAACTATCGCTATATCGTCATTGGCCAGGTAATACGATAGACGAAATATGAAATATACTTACTTTTGTGACAACTTATTTGCTATAGAACTTTCAATTGCTATATTAATTACTAGCAGAGTACCCGTCCTTCGTATACGGGGTTGGCATATAAGTAAAAAAATGCTTATTGCAGTTATATTGAACTCAAACTTGGAACTTGCAATGGGGGAGGACACATGTTGATAAAATTTGCTTCTATAAATTTACAGTATACTATAGTATTACACATCTACCATAGCCATAATATTCCACCACTTCATCTGAACAATAGAGAAAAACAAATGATTAAAAGTGCATAAAATATCAAAAATTATTCATGAAATTAAAAACATAAACACAACTGTAAACAATCATACCTTGACAGTTGTCATGGCATACCACAGTTTGTTGTTGCTGCTTACTTATAATTAGCTGTTTTCATAAATGCAAAAAAATGTAGTTTTGCACCCTGTTGGTAAATCTTATAACTTTTAATGCTTTTACATAGAACCAACTTTTTTATTTGAAACAGCTGACTAAATTCTTTAATTCCCTTTATATGAATACTCATCATAAGGTTAACATGGGAAACTACAGAGCCACTGGGGTGGAGCCCGAAAGGATTTTTGAGATAAGAATATGCCTATATGTTAATTGGGAATGTGAGCTACCATCATGCCAAATTTCAGCCGGATCCGTCCAGTAGTTTATGCGTGATTGAACTTCAAACAAACAAACACACAAACTTTCACATTTATAATGTTAGTAAGATTTTTGACCCAGTTATAACTAACTGTTAACAATTGTAATTGATTATTGTTGTGATGGTTGTGGTTACTGTACTAGGATACTAGTAACACTTTTATCACCTTACAAGAAGTGATACTCTCACAGGATTTTTATCCCTCCTTGTTGTTTAAACTCGTTGTTGAGTTATAAGCTCACTAATGACAGCATTAATTATGATACCAAAGTAATTACATTAGTTTCAAAATGGGTTGTGCAAACGATTTTCATTTTTGCGCCACTATTTCTAAAGGAATTGAGATTTTTTCCTTTGGGATGTAGCATACGGTATTATAATAATGCAAAGTAAAACCCCCAGATTTAATTAATGTTCTTGGCATTTTGTTATAATGATATGATCAAATATATTTCTGCTACTGTAATTTTCCGATCTAAATACAAAGTTCAGTGCTCCATTTCGTTCAACAAATATGGCCACTGTTAAGCCATACGGCCAATGATCAATTGTTAAATGTGCAAATTAGTTCTGTAGTGAAATAATTACTTCACGGAGGTATTGGTAGTCTTCAAACACGTTTGTAGGCAAGAAATAAATGATTTAGAATATTTTAAAGGAAAATCTTTGAACTCTTATTTGATATTGTTGTGCAAGCAAGCAG